TGCTCTTTCTGGGGTGGAACTCGGGTTTGAGGGGAGAAAAGTTGCTGCCTGATTGAGTTCATATGTTGCGAGCACGAGTAGTTGGCTGTTAACGTGCGGTCTGCGAATACCTCACGGTGCTAATTAATGTGTTGTGATGAGTCCAACAGCCCGCTGAGCCAAATTCACATCATAACGCTGAGACTTTGGCAATTTATTCTGACAAATATATTCTCAAGTGAGCCTGATAGAGGCAGGGAACGTATTTAACTATTCAATATTTGCTATTCAGAGTGTGTGAGAGGTGGAGCATTCACAGTCTATCTGCTTTTGGGCTCCAGATAAGCCCGCGTTGTCGCCTGGCATTATCATACCCGTATGCTAACAGCATGTCCCTCGACCTGCACAAGCCGGACAAAGCCAAAGACCTGCAGTGAACTCTGCTTCTCGGTCGTGTTTGCTTAACCCCGGCAGCTGTTTTTTATACACACAAATACGTACATAAAATCCTGCTTCGTTTACGGGCGATGGTAGCTGTCAACAAGCGTCTCAGAATAGGTATCAGATTGCCAAATCACACTGATAACAGACGGGACAGATAGTGTTTGTTAGTTGTGCTACAGGCTGTTTCATTTGATCCTCTGGGCGCTGGCTGCTCTGCTTGAGTTAGACATCAAGCAACAACAATACAGTTTTTATATTTGACAGGTGATACTTTAACAATGAAATATTTTACATTTTACGCGCTGCAGCCAAAAAATGCTTGGTATGTTTGCCTCATACATAACTATAGAACCAGTCCTTGATCAACTAACTCAGCTGTTTGAATGACAGACTTCCGCTAAAGACAAAATGGTTTGTTCCCCTCTGGCGTGTTATCTCTTAATCGTTCTAATCCAGCTGCAGTGGATCCTCATTAAATGCTTTGCCAAGATACCATCAAAGCCAGCGGCGCTGACTAAAGCCAATCAAGGAGCGAGGTGGCACGAATCCCGATAACTGAAGCAGAAAATGTTCCACCTTTTTCCTGGATCACTGTGCGAAGGCCTGAGCATGTGATCTGAGATGCAGGTGTGTTTTTAAAGTGAACTCTGTCAAAAGCAGCCGTCGCCTGCACAGCCAGCAGCAGCAGCAGCAGCTTTCCACGACAGATCAGGACAACACAAGGACAGCGGCGGCGGTTTTAACCATCAGTTTGCTGTGAAATCAGATGTTTTATGACTATTAAAAACAACTAGCTGAGAGCGGCGAGGCTCGGATCAGCAGCAACGTCACAAGACTGCCTCCCTCCTGGAGCGTGACAGAGCGGTGGACAGAGAGCATTCTTTCCACTCTGAGAGAAAAGAGAGAGGGCAAACTCATTACCCTTACTAACTAGCCGGGCTCACACCAACCTGCACCCAGGCCGTCTGACAGAAAACCTCAAAAACACATCACCGCAAAGTACAAGGGTCACAGGAGGGAAATAGGTTACCTGAGAGGGCTTTCTGGACGGATTACAAGATCTCACTTGTTGCTCTTTGGCTGGAAATGTCTATCTGGAGTTAATGTGTCTTAAGACAAGCAAACAGGCAGCCAGACAAAATGTACCGAACTGTCGGAGGAACGCACCGGCCCCCGAGAGCACAGGAACTGACAATGCGGTGTCAAATCTGCAGCTATCTTGTGGGTCATCAGGTAGAAATGTGATGAAAACAATGTCACAGCGGAAGAAATGGTGAGAAAGAAGATCCGGCCAGAAAATGCATCCTGAGACGTTTAAAGTTTAAAAAGTGGAGAGGCTGAGCAGACAGTTTTCAAGTGGTAGTTCAAAATCAAACACCGAAAGATGCTGAAATAGCCGTTACAGTGCTTGAAGACGTTTCTTTATAAACACAGAATAAAGCCAAAGCATCCCTGAAGTGCAGTCACAATTAGGAATGCTGATGAATAATCACTAATCAACTCCTTGCCGTTAATAATTTAACCAAATAAAACATACCAACCGATAAGGCGGAAGAATAAGATCATGCATGTATGTAAAATGCATCATAGATCAGCTGTAGTACCTGGTTGTTCCACCAGGTGGAGCATCGTACTGTTCAACAATGCAGAGACCCGAAAACACTCAGAGATCGGTAGGTAACGAGCTGGCAAGCAGAGAGCATTGTGTGAGTTTAGCTGGTAAAGTGCCACCATGAGAAAGTATCCTGTGTTGCTTAATGGCTACCGACCAGAGCTAGCATGTTTTTGGCTAGCAGACATGCAGTACTGTGATGTTTCCTGCAGATAGCCAATTGGTTGAGCCAGATGATCAGACCATGTCAATCGATTATTGACTGGCAGCTGAGGTGAGACGGACATTCATTAGAGTTACTTTAATGAGGAAAAAAGCGCTACACCAATTAAATTTCAGCTTTTATCCATTATTTTTTGGCAGCGAGAGGGAAAAGGCCACCTGAGAAAAACTATTTCACATCGTTGAACTCACACAATCCAACAGAGACTACGAGGTCAAACATATTTAAAGTTAGCATCGGCTTCAAACTGCATTTTGTTCAATCGCGTGGCCAAAAAGTTGAACGTAAACAGCAGTTTGCGTTTTACAGTCCGACAACCAACATCTAAGAACAGTAGATTAACTTTTCTGCGTTATGTTGCTCAAGTTGATTTCGTTCTATTTTCAGAAATCCTATGAAGATGGGCAGGTGCACACTGGTCTGCTCCGAATCTGTTGTTATTTCAATACAAGATAACGACATTAAAATTATCTAACATGCAGCAAACACCAGCTTTTTTAATTCATCACCAGCAGGCAGATAGCACCCTATGCACTGTGGCTGATTTCATTAACATAGAGATAATCAGTAGATTGTTTCCCCCCCCCACACACAAACAAACAAACAAACGGTTGAAGAATAGGTACGACAACATAGTTTGGATTCCGGTTCGCTGATACCTTTGCTATGTGCACTATTTGAACGTTGTTGTGACAGCAGGTGACACATCCAACTGCATCCAAGCAAATATTGAGCACTGTGAGGAACAGTTACTCCATAATACTCCCAACTAAAGGTGGACAAACTAAATACTACATGTTCATCTTCTTTGCAAAGAAACTGAATGATTGCTAGACCAATACTCACAAAAACCAAAGAACATGCGATGGCTTTTAGCTGATATTTACATGTAGAGAGGACATTCATTCAGTTATTCTGCCTGTTTCTATTAAACAAGTCAACTATTATTCAACTAAACAACATATTTTGGCTCACAAGACTGCCTCTTTCCTGCTCACTTGTATTTTGTAGCTCCAAACTATTAATAACCTTCATGTGAATGGCAAGAACTTGCTCGTTGCCTTCATTGATAGAAAAGGAAAACTGCAAATAAACCTGGCCAACACAAGAATTATTTGGAATTAGAAAACAAACGTGGTCAAAATCTGTCAGTTTGTGTAACTCCTTTTCTTCCAAATACAATTATAGCCTGATGGGTTCATGTTTAGAAGGAATTAAGGCGTTAAAATAAACAGAGCCAGCCCACGCATGAAGTGAAAGTGCCGCAGAGTTAAAAGGTCATTTATAAGCGATGCAGCCGACCTGGAAGTGACAGCTGAAGTGGAAGTCCTGGGATGAACCAGCTCGAGCATGTAAACCAAAACATGTTTTTCAACCGGGAAGTGTTTTTCCATCAACTTTAATGGGTCAACCAGCAATATTTTACAAAATCTGTTTAATACATCAATTAAAATTTCACAATTATCTGTATTTTAGACTATCGGATGATTTGAGATGGAATAACCCAGCCTGAGATCTGAAAGGATGTGATGTGTCAGTTATGAAAACAGAGACAAATGTGTGAAAGGTGGAATAAAAATAAAAGGACAGTCACTTCAGGAACAATGACAGCTCTGCCACAGGATCTCTTGTCTCACGCTCGTCAAAAAAAATCCCATTTGACTTTTGCCGAGGCAACTAAGGAGTATGTGCTTCACTTCCTGGGTCACCTGACGGAGCCTTTGGACGACCAGCGGCGGTGACAAAGTGCAGGTTCAATGTACACAAAGCCACACAGCAGCCATGACCCACTTTGTACCTGCGAGCCAGCCTGTGGCGGTTGGTGGGAGGAAACGTCCACTCCACTCCCCTTTTCCTTTTTTTTTTCTTTATGCACTGCCTGTCAGGGCCAAGCCAAGGTCAAGAAAGGGATTTTGCTGCTGCGTTTCCACGTGGCGAAGGCTCAGTGGATTCTGCCAGGGGTGTAGGGGGGCGATTTCCTTGTTCCTCACACCTCACGGGCCTCGATCACGCCAAACTCTCCCCCATCTCAGGTGGTGAGACTTTCAGGACAAGAGGAAGTGCTCTGCTCCACTCTGCTGTGCCGGGACTTGTGCCACGGCTGTCATAACAGGAACATCACATGCATGCCGTGAATCACCCCCAAAAAAATAAAAAAAATAACTGAAGATGGAGCACTCTAATGCCCTTAGGGCGTTAGACTGGGCTGGCTGGCACTCACTCAAGTGCTGAGGCGTAGATATGTGAGCACCTTGGCACTGCACTCAATGGCACACAGGAAAACACAGAAAAGGAGCAGAGGCATCTTGCACAATCAAAGTGCACAGCTCAACTGTATGGTGCTGTTCAAAGTGTGTGTGTGTTGGATTTTTAAAGCAGACACCTGCAAAGGTTAGACGAGGCTCCAGGAGTGTGTGGCGTCTACCGGCAGGGCCCTGGGAGGAGAGCAGGAGGAGGGTTCCCAACTGTTGCATCCAAAGCCCTTAACTAGGTCAACTTTGATGCAGGAAATACACATCCCCGCGGGTACAACAAAAGAAATCTCCTCCCGTGATCAGCCCGAGCGGTGATACGTGGCTCTCCCCCCTTCTTCCCCTCCTCCTCCCTCCCCGGTTGGATAAACACACGGTGCAAAAAAGTGCAAAAGCAGCAGCGCGACAGAATATGTTGCTAACACTTAGCTAAAAGTCAACACCAAACTGTGTTCTGGTCCAAACAGGAGATAAAAACACGAGCACTTACCAGCTGTTTACACTGCAGCGAGGGACAATGTTGACATGTAGGCAACTTGCTGTTTCGCCGCTTTAATATATTCCGTGTTTGTTAAAAAAAAAAAAAAAATGTGCAAAACAGGAACAAACCAGCTGAGCGCGCAACAAGAAAACGGTTTAAAACAGAAAGCCACTTCGAAATAGTCCTCCGGAACTTTGCGGGTTACTTCTCAGCCACACTTTCATCTAAAGTTGTCGGTAGGCGCCATGTTTGTGTCTGCGCTGATAGTTTTGTTGGTGAGCTTTCTTCCTAAACGTCTCTTTCAGGCTGGAACCGCCCAGACGAGAGGAGAGGCTTCAGTCAGCGCCGACTGAGACGGAGGGAGGCTGGCGGCGGCCAGCGACGTCAAGCTAGGCCGCGTCACGCCGGCGGGTTCCGGGGGTGTCCCTTCAAAGTAAAACCACCCCAACAAAAGTGTCGGTTTTCGCAATAAAGCTTTATTTTCTTTTAATTACCTGCTGTTGTTGTTTTTTGGTTTGTTTTTTTTAAATCAAACGCAAAAATATAATGTTCTTTCTTTATATGTATTAAAACAGAAACTCGCCAAAAAAAAATGGAATTATGATATGTTGAATTATGCTCAATAAGGTTGGTTTTCACAATAAAGTTGTTTATTTATTAGTTTTTTCCTCTATCTTTTAAAGGAATGTGACAAACTTTAAACTTATTATCCAACATAAAGATGCAATTCCATCTCTTTACATATATGTTACCAAATTAAAACAGAAAACCACCAAACACTATAGCTTGGTATTAACTTACTGTCATTACAAAGAGGTTAGTCTCACAAAAAACTTTATAAGATTAAAAAATAAATAACTAGAAATAAAAAGCAGAAGCACACAAAACCATTATAGCATGGTAATAATAACTCATTGTTATTACCACAAATGAGGCTGGTTTTCACAATAAAGCTGCTTATATATTTTTTAGTTTTTAGAATCTTTTATCGACATAAAAATAGAATTTTCTCTCTTTAAATGTATGTTAACAGATTCAAACAGAAGCATTCAAAAATCTGTACCTCAGTTGTTATTGTATTATTCTTACCGACAATGAGGTTGGTTTTCACAATAAATCTATGTACTTATTTTTAAGGGTTTTTATTTTCCTTTATTATCAAACAGAAAAATAGAAATTTCTCTCTTTGCATGTACATGTAACTGATGAAAACAGATATGCACAATAACTTGGCAATAAGTCACTGTGGTTTTCAACAATGCGATTAGTTTTCACAATAAAGTGGTTTATTTAAACTGACATGACTGACTCAATGCTATTTTTATTATTAGAATTACTGTGTATTTTCACGACCTCCATACTTCTGTGTACTACCAGTGGTTGAAGGAATAACTGATGCGGAGGTTGAAGTCTGGAGTAGTTTTTTTCTTGCGCTTCTACAAAAATGAAATCAGTTTTATACCAACGCTGCCAGTCTGTCAATAGGAAATCTCTTGTAATCACAAAAAAGGCTGCAAGGTGAATGAAACTCTCAGAATATACTTAATAGAAAATGAGGGCAAAATAATACTTTTCCTCATTTTTATGCTACAAAAAAAAAATAAATCAAATTTACAGCCTCTCAAATGATAAAGTTCACTGCTTATTGTGAAGGTGAGATGTGGTGACTTCCTACCTACTGAGTTTTACTACAGCCTTGTCCCACTAGTTTTAGTTTCGCTCCATGGTTTTGCAGTTTCTGACGCCCCCCATCTTAAAGTGGGAGAACTTACACCAACAAGACAAACGTCAGAAAACACTCTGCAGAGGTTTCACCATTTGAGATTTGACTATTCTAATTATTGCAGAGTGCATACTATGCAAGTTAAACTTAGAAACACTGGCTCATATCTAACATTTAGTACAAACTAATGAACATGCCTTTTCAGCTCATTATTGGACATTTTGCTGAAACTTTGAGACATACTGCACCAAAAGTATGAAGTGCATGCTCTTCTTTCCAGCTGTTTCAAGTGTGGCATGCACCTAAAGACATTTAAAACCTCATAAAGCCCCTGTGTGGTTAGAAATCATTTGAACTTACACTTGTCAGCTGCACAACATTTCAAGTTTATTTCAAGTTTGTTGGTCTCAAGTTAGAAATCCTCATTTACACAAGTAAACCAAAAGCAGTTCATATTTTGCAATTTTATTAAAGCAGTCTATTAATTTAAGTCAACAAACACAGAAACTATTAGTGCACGAAATGTAGGTTATTTAACAGCTATATACACAAGTATGTTACATGACTATTAAAATCTCACTGACGATTGAAGGAGGCAGCAGAAGGGTTTAAGAATAGTTAACACTTCATGTCATCTATCGGGGAGAAAGTGATGAGCTGGGGGAGGCTGTACTCGCTCTTTTTCGGAGGCGAGGGTGTCTCCAGAGCGTCTAGATCCAGTGAAAAGATCTTGTCTGTGGTTTCTTTTGTCGTTGCGGGTTCCATTAGCCAGTTTCTGTCCAAAGCAGAGACCTTGTAGTCAGACAGAAGACACTCAGGAGTCTTTTCCATCAGCGAGGCCTCGTTAAACGACTTGTGGATCTGACGGTGACGTGGGGTTAGTGGTGACGGCTTCGCCTCAGTCTTTAGCGAGGGGATCAGCAGCTCCTCGTCCTCCTCGCTCCTCACGTCCACGGCTTCGTCGTCCAGGCTCAGCAGGCTGTCGCAGCTCGGCATCTCGGGGAGGGTCTCGTGGTCCAGGGTGAACTGGATGGCGCTGCTGCCTGTGCCGCTCGGACTGTCCAGGGCCTCTGTGTTGAAAGTGTCCCACAGAAGGCTGGACTTGAAGACCCGCTCTCTGCCAGCAGGGGGGCTGTCGTGGACCACGGCAGCGGGGGTGACGCTGGAGGAGACGTCCTGCGAGGGAGCGTCGGGGCTCAGCCGCACGTTGCAGGGCTCGCTGAGGGGACTGAGGCGCCTGATGATGCTGCCGTCAAATTCAGCCGACTGCCGGCTTTTCTTAGCCTTCTCCTCCTCCACGGCCTTCCTCCAGGAGCTTTTCACGTCCATAACTGAGGAAAATAAACAAAAGACCATGTAAATTTCCCCAAATTTATACCATAAAACATCCCAACAGGGTTCCTACACATTAATAAACTCCCTGCTTTTTCCAAATACAAGTTTCTATACTTCTGTGAAATTTTGCCAGCGAATTGCAGCTCTCGTGGTGTATTTAACAAGTCAATTAACACCAAACCCAGACAAGTATTCTATCCAAGCTGCCACAAGAGCAATCATATCTCTGCCCTGAGGTAAAGCTACTTTCCTTCCACAGAAAAAAAACTCCAAACCTTTCTGATTACTAAACTGCTGCACAAGCCCAACGTTTCAGACAAGCTTCACATCTGGTTATTTGTGATGCCATGTATATGCATAATTTAAACCCATTGCTGCAGTTTTTGAACACACTAGATTTGATTATACAGCACTTAGGGCAGAGCTGGTTTGCAGGCTGTGACATAAAGACGTAGTGGCAGCTCTGTGTGGGAGCGTTCAGTCGCAGGCCACGCTTCTTGCCTTGTTGTCAATGACAGCAAACTCGCTCTGGCCCACATACAGTGAGAAACATAATAGAGATTTTCAAACACAGGACGGGCTCAATAGAGTGCAAACATACTTTTCCCATATTTTGTAGGAATTGTGGTTTAAACATTCTTCTTAATATTTTGTTTAAATCATGTTTTTCCTTTATTGTTCACACAGAATTCAGATTTAAAAAGGGAAATGGTTTATAACTTACTCAAGCTCTCAGGAGTGCGTGGCAGCTGTTTTCTAGTAGAGAAGGGATCTCTCTGAAGAGTGCTGAGGAGGCCGTCCAACTCCAGGCCCTTAACTCTGCCCTCTGGAGGACTGGTTGTAGTTATCGCATCTGCAAACTAATACAATGATAGACACACTTTAGACACGACTCAGTCAGTTACAGAGGACCTTAAAACTGTCAGATTTTCAGTGAAGCAGCATTTATATTTCCTACATTTCTGTATTACAGCTTTTACGATACCTGATCAGCGAGGTTGTCATATTCCAGGTCCAGTATCTGAGTCTTGGTCCTCGTGGGAGCCGCCCTCTGGTGAACGTGGCTCATCTTTCTCTCACTGGCCTAAAAAACGAGCACAGGTTTGTCAGTTAAACAAGTTCAACAGGTGGACTGGATCCAAAAAGAGTAAGAATTTGACGTTAGCGGAAATCTAACACTTGCCTGAGGCGGTTGTACCGGTGGAGCCCTGAGAGGAGGGGATGGAGGCGTGTCAAAAAGCCAGTCGAGGGAGGTGTTCGCTCGTGGCGCTTCAGTGGTCACAACGGGACTTTCAGCCTTCTCAGCTGGTGCAAGGAAGGAACTATTTCAAAAGAGACAGAGGGCTTCGTTATTAGAAATATATATATTTTGTCCAGCACCGGTACAGTGAACCCAACACCGAGCACCTTGCTGCAGCTATTAACAGCCTGTTATGTGGCCTTGGCTAAAGGCTAATCCCCAAAACAAGTCGGCATGTGGAACCTGCACCTGTCTTCAAATTGAATGAGTGGTTCGAACCACTGTAGGTAACTTCAGTCTCAACAGCAAAGTCAACTGAGGACTGAAATCCTGACCTGTACAGAACTTTAAAGAAGTTGCATCGTTTCTTTTGACATGTATGTTAACACTTCTAAAATGTAGTTTATACACAGTGACACTCCAAGTTTACTGCACATGTTCCAGCTCTCTAGAAGATTTTGACCCTCAACTGTCCCCTTCTGCTCTTAAAACACTTTGTTTATACGACATTTCTACCTAACTTTGTGTTGTCAGAGTCGTACAGAAACTGTCTGCTCCGTATCTGTCCGTGGCGATTTCTCTCAATTCGCCGCGGTCATCAGAGAGCAGGGATGCTGTAGGGAGGACCAGTGGTGGACAGATCATTGCTTAGGCCTGCCCAGGTATCTGCCTCCCATCACAACCAAACCGCCACATAAACTTGAAACTAAGCAGTCTCCGTTTTAATAATGTTGTCATTTAGTTCACAGCTGTTGCCATTACCTCTTGAGGTCGGAATAACTCGGATGTGCACCCTCCTGTGATTTACTCTCTGCAGGCTTCCGCTCTGGAACGAGTACAAACTTTGGTTAAAAACAAAAACTACTGAACACACATGGACTGTATTAGAACATGACTGTGCTCACCAAGAAGTTTAGCGGGGTACTGGGAGAAGACGCTGCTTTTGTAAGTAGCTTCAGCTGCTGGTTCAAAAGACAGTGGAGCCATTGGTGAGAGGAAGCCAAGAGCCTAAAAACAGGAGAAAAAAAACAAGGTACAACATGATCAGTCAAAGTAAAAAAAAAAAAGTCATCTTCTAAAGTAAGCTAAATTATCTCTATTTGAAATGCACCACTCAGCCACACCATTTGAATCACCTTCCTAATATTGTGCCAGTCGGATTCATGCTGCAAAAACAGCTCTGACCCATTAAGATCTGGACTCTACAACAGCTCAAGGTGTCCACTATCAGGCACCAAGACGTTAGCAGCAGATAAGTCCTGGAAATTGTGAGGTGATGCCTTCATGGATCAGACATCCTACAGTTGGACTGAGTTCTGAGGGATTCGAGGCCAAGTCAACACCTTGAACTCTTTGTCACATTAGTCCAACCATTCCTTAACATTTTTTGCACTGTGGCAGGGAGCGTGAACCTGCTGGAAGAGGCCAGCGCCATCAAGAGGCGTGTGTGGCCTTTAACAATGTTTAGATACATGTAAACTGTCTCTGCCATCTTTTCATAGCGCATCCTGCTAACATTTCTTACTCAGGAAAACAACGCGCATGCACCCAGCAAAGGCCGCCTTCTTTGACTGCTCGATGGACCAGTTCTGAAACTCACAAGCAAAGTGTGGAAACTGACAGTGGTGGACAGGAGATCGGCAACCTGAGCTATCCGCAGATAAATACGCATCACGCTGCAATGCACGGTGTAATGTGACACACCTCTATCATTGCAAGTATTAAGATTCTCAGCAACTTACGCTACAGGGCTACCTTCCGCTTGCAGAGGGTGCTTTAATATCCATACTATAAAATACGCCACTATTGATTTGGTATGTCCGAACACATGGTATGTCAAGTACAAAACATGCCAAAACGATGGGATGTCCTACACAACCTGGTTGCATTCTGCAGTATGAAAGCCAACATGCTTCTCTGACCCACAAACCTCTGTACATGGGAAGACGAATCACATAAAGCAGTATTTGCATGACTATAAACAAGGTTTTCAAAGCCAGGAGCACAGTCACACGACAGCTCAGTTCACACTGCAACTAATTTATGTGCAGCACAGTCTAAGCTTAAGGCACAATATTATGAAGTCGTGCATCCCAGCTGTATAAATAGTATATAAAAAAGGTACATTTATTCCAAGGACAGCTACAGTAAGCACTAGAAGTAAAAAGCACTGGACTTTAATCGCAGCCTGCTTGTTCACTTACAGCCTTTTATAACCATCCCCTCACAGCTGGTACAGTCACAAGACATTGGTATTCACTTCACTTGCTGGAGGTTTTATTGTTGTGGCTGATTAGTGTAAGTGCAAGTGTAATGTGATTAAGCAACCACTCACAGGATCCTCATTCAGAAAAGAGACGAGAGGTGTTTCTTTCAGAGTGTCCATCCACTTCTTCTCCCAGTCTGCTTCCAGCTCTCTAATGGCACTTCTGACTTCAGGGATTTCTTCCTTAGAAATCTTCTGCCTGAGAGAAGCAATAAAAGAACAATTCTGGACTTAATACGTTCAGTAACAGAAAGCAAAAGTGTTGGGTGTCAACCACATCAAACCACAAACAGCTGGGAATTTAGATGTACAGACAGCCAATCAAAAAGTCTCAGTGCATCCCCTTAAGTGAGTGGCTTAGTGACATACCTGATGAGGTGGAGGTCCTGCAGCATGCGGGCCATCTGATGACATTTCTCCTGCAGGTGCTGAGGACTGAGCGGGGGCTTGGGGGCATGAGAGACCTGGAAACGCTCCTCTTTCAGGAGCTGTGACGCGTAGTTCATCAGCTCCATCACACAGAGGAGGTTCAGCTGGCCGCCTTCATACACGTTCCCTGAACTTAACTGGAAAACAAACATAAACACAATCAGAGACGTTTTAAAGTGACTGTTTCAGCAGTTTAAACCATTACTGCACCCTCTTTCTATACACAAGCTACTAAACCCAGTGTTGAAAATGTAGCGAGTGAATGACCAATATGTCAAACTGTGTCATGCCTTCATTACAAATTTTAAGGTTTTGTGGAGTAGGAGCATAACAGAAGCCTACCTCATCATTTCTATTGTGTACAGGTAATAATTATCTTCACACTCACCTGATGTGGGAGCTTTTCAATTCTCTCCAGCAGGCGACGAGGGATTTTGAGGACTCGATCCGTCCCGTCCAAGACGTATTGATCGACGTCGCCCTTCAAAACACTTCCCACCGCACTCTGCTCCTCTCTGATACCAGCCAGCATTCCGTCGATGGTCGACCACAACGAGCGCACCTTAGGACGACAAAGTGCTTTTGTGAGCTCTAAGAAACATCAATACAGAACTAACTCTTTACAAAAACCATCTCCATTGTAGAATTTCAGAAGCCGCAACCACACAGGAAACTGTCAGTAAGGTACAAATCATGCCTTGTGTACCTTTCTAATCTTCTCAGCTGCAGAAGTTTCCTCTTGTGTGGAATCATCGCTGTGACGCCTGAAAGCACAAAGTCCCATTTGTTCAATGTGTCTCAGAGCTTATGCTTGAACTATCAAGATATAAAAAGGGAAAACAAAAGGTTACACATACTTAAGTAGCTCATCGTACTTGGCTCCATCTGCTTTGATGTCCTTCATAGACTTCACCAGAAGCCTTCACAGGAGGAAAAACAAAAGAAAAAAGTTTTATAAAAAAGACAAAGGAAGTCAAAACCCACTTCCCTGTGAAAGCTCTTACAACAAACAGTCGTGCCATAGCTGGAAAACACATCAAGAGCATTAACAAAGACTGCATTCCTCTTTGGTGACCACTTGTCCTGGTATTGTTCCTCTCTTAGTCACGGATCACTGCGACAATTCACGGAGCTGAGTCATCATTAATAAAAATTTGTTTCACCTGTGTTTTGACAAATCACAATGTCAGCTGGAAAAAGGGAGGTGCTGATTGCTAATCCTCCCAGCAGCGAACCAGCTGACCTCGCTAACCAAAGCTTTTCTAATTGGTTCATATGAAACAAGTGGGCTCAAAACAAACTGGCAATAAAACATACAAGACCAAGAATACTGACTGAAAATTTAAACATCTCTCAGAAAATTTGCTAAGAAGACATACGTACACAATCACACGACAACAAAAGAAAACACACTAAACAGAAGAAATAACAGAAAGATGACATTTAAAAATAACCAGATGTAGCCAACCAGATATTTTCACCACGTTCAGTATCTACAGTGAGAAATGAAAAGGAATGACAAAACATTTCTGAATGGCTCAACAAAGTGTTATCTTAACTACATGACTATTTATTTCGGCTCTTCTGTCTCACCATGAGCAGATTAACAAATAAATCTAGAAAGTGCAAACTACTGTATTTAGCAGCAACTTTTAAAACTGTTAAAACTACAAATGATTGAAAAACAAACGCTTAAATTTATCAAGTGATTTTATTTTGTTGTGTTTATGAAACATGACAGCTGGTTGCTTTTTTCTTGATGCTTGACTTTTATTGTTTACCAAGTGTTGTGTTTATCAGACTGACTGACACTGAAGCAGAACGCTGGTTAAGTAAGTACGCTGCAAGAACTCTGTCCAACTGCCAGTGTAGATGATCGAGGACTTACTGGGCTCGTCTCTGGTACTCGTGAAGAAAACGATCCTGATCCACTGCAGTTTTCAAGAACCTTGTACGGATCAGATTGAATCTCTTAACTGCCATATCCAGAGTGGAAGCAGGCGTCGCTGCAGTCTCAGGAGTCCAGCTGTCATCTAACAATCACAATAATCAAGATAATATGATAGATTTTTTTGCAAGCCAGCTCCATAGCAAATTGAATTAAATGTAAATATAGAAAGCATGTCAATGTTGTGTCACTCTACACTTTCAGATTATAGTCAGATCATGAATACAAGTTACTAGTACTAAAACAAAAAAACATACCCGTGGTGAATGTCTTCATCTCCTGCAGCATGACGTGATTGGCCAAATGAAGCATCAAGCTGGTAAACTTGGGGCCTCCAGGTGAGAGAAACAAGGATGCCACCACTTTGGATCCTGCATTTGCAATTTCATCCTACAAGCAGGTAAAAGGACAATTATCAACAATTACACAGCATACGCATTTTTACGTTGGGCAGCAAATGGATGTCGGGCAGACAAGCAACGTGTGAAGAGGTGGATGATATGCAGCTAAGAGAGCTCTGGCGACGCTGATTTATGTGTTATGCCTTTAAGGCTTGAAGTTAACATTATAATGACACTTATTTCTGTCACTTTTATGTTTATGCATGTGAAAAGAAAAGGAACTTTGTTTTTCCTTTACCATAAATAAAAGCATTTCCATCATAAATTGATGCAGAAAAGGCGCAAGTTGGTGCATAAATATTTATCAGAAAAAGAATTAACCAGGAAATTATGAGTTTGATGCTCACAATGATCCGGTAAAAACCCTGCTTAATGTGTCCCCCAAGAACATTCCAAACAAACCCTACACCCACAGGAGAACAGAACATCACACTCAAATTCTTACCATTATTTCTCGCAGCCAAGTGCAGGTAATTTTGCGGAACTCAGCATCTGCCTTGTGGTTCAAAACAGGCCAGCAGTGTCTAAGCCAGAACACAAATGAAGAGATTAGAGGGAGACAGTGATCACAACAATAATTCACAGACATGTGTAAATAGGAATAACAGGTGATCGAGTCAAACTGTACCTGTATGCTTCATGAAATCGAGTTGGGTTGAGTCTCTCCAACAAGAAATGGGTCACTATGTAGAAGGCATCTTTGTTTGGTTTGTCAAACATATTGCTGTTGGGCATAAAGAAAGATTTAATTACACTAAAACTTGAAGCAACAAGTGTCAGAAATTATTATCAAGTGGGTCCATCAGACCATTTCAACTATGATTTTACATATTTTTTAACATATATCAGAAATACATCAATTTAGAAGCTTAAAATAATGATGGTAATCATTTAGAAGATCGTTTATAATGTAAACAAAGCATGAAAGGATGATCACACAACATGGTGATGCAGCTCAAGGGAGGAGGTGAGAATCAGGTGATAATTGTACTTCCTGCATCTCAAAAAGGTGTCACAGACCGAGACTACTGAGATGTACCACAGGCCTTTTATACCATCAAACTGGATAACTCCTCTTTCTTCTGCACAAAGGACAGCTATATCATCTAACACTTAACAATGAACAAGCTGTATTTTATCTTTCTTATTTTCATTATTAGTTTGTATCTTATCTTATTGCTGTCATACGAGACACTTCATTTCTTGTCATCTTACTCTATTTTATCTGAGCAATATCTGGCACAAGAATTTCCCTCGGGATTAATAAAGTTCTAGCTTATCTTCCTTTTGTGGTAGATCAATGACTCACAAAGGGCAGGGCACAGAATTTTATTTCTGTTAATCCTACCAAGTTCAAAAAAGGCATCTGGACTTATGTTGTAGGTTCTTGAAGACGTTTTATCTTCTAGGAATTATAAAAGCTTCTTGGATGAGAGGTAAAATGTCTTCAGAAATGAAGCTCTCAGGATTACAATAACCTGGATGCCTGACGCATTTGAATTTAATGCTTTCTCTTAAAATTTTAGAAACATGAGTCAAAGACCACTGACTCGCCTCCTGTTGTTTCATTTCGCCATTGTGTTGTAATAATTCAGGATTAGGGTGTTTCTGTGAGTGTGGAAGCTAAATAAACAGTCCAACACAAAACGAGCAATGTGAATAACAGCGTAAATGCAACGGAAAGTGAAAGCTGCAAACGTTGGGAGGCAAAGAGTCACGTTAGCCAACACTGTCTGTAATAATATATGAACTCTGTCTACTTACGGTCCCACGTTGATGTGTTTGACATTAACGTTGGCTTTGCCGGCGAAGGACGACGTTGTAATTTCCGGCTGAAATCCCAGCCCAAGAAGAGCAAACCACAGATACTGTCCATTCTTCTTCTGCAGCACTGTCGCCATTATTCCGAGATGAAAACAGTTAGCCAGCTAGCTTTCCTGCTGGCTAACTTACCGCTAGCTTCCTAACTTGTTCTTAATATGTCAACTTACATTTAACAAAACGTAATGAAAAAAACAAAAACACTGCCGAAAAGCAGCTGCATTCGGCGTTGTAACATCCAGCAAAGTTGTAGATACGTTTAGGTTTACATTTGTTGAGATAAATTTCTCAAACTTTGGAATCGGGAGCAGTAAAACGCAACAGTAGACGTGACCGCCAATTTTTCCAATCACAACCCGGAAGTTGTTAAGATCAACATCCGGTTCGGGAAGGAAGTTTTACGTCTCAAAATTATATATTTTTTAATTTTTAATTTGAACCTTTTTGTTATTATTATTATTGCTATGCATATTTACTACATATGAGCAGTGGACTTTTACGGCAGTACCTCTACAGTACGGAATGCCATTATTCAATATTAAACAAATAAATACAGTACATACATAAATAAATGGCTTTGAAATAAATCCGGAGTTTAAAAAATCAGGCAATAAATAAATAAATAATTACATGAGCGAATAAACTGTTGTTTTTATTTTCTTTTTTTTTATAAATAAAATTTTACAAAGGATTATTTTTTATTTATTTCAGGGGACTTTTCCCCCTAGAATTCTTTGTTTATTTACAAGTGCAATATTTCGTTGTCTTCATGTTTCACAGGTTGTTTAATTTTCAAACAATCTATAAGGCTTATTTCTTTTACCCTTTATAGAAGAATCTTTGTAGAATCTTTTATAGAAATTAATTTAGTGAGTTAGTGACCACAAATCCAGAATCTTTTTTTTTGTTTGTTTTGAAAAGTTGCAGAATTAGTGGCTTGTAGTTACAAATATAACTGCTTTACTGTTAACAAAGTCCATAGATTATTAGGTATTATTGTTGTTACTTAAAAATTTATTTTTTGGGAATGACAGCGTTTGATGCATCACAAAAAAAGTACATGACTTGTACCAGCTAAAATTGTATTCCATGCTATAATGCATTTCTGCACGATGTTTTGCTCTCTTCATGCATGTAAGTGGGGTGGACAAAATATTAGAAACACTCAAATGTAACACAGTCCAGGGCGTTACCAAGAGTACAATCTGTAGCAGAGGTGTTTGATTGCATTAGATGGCAGTCTTTTCTAATAAAGTGATTTGGTATTTGTCAGATTTGGTATTGCAGGTTAATAATTAACCTGCCGTTTGTTTCAGGGCTGCTGAGCTGTTCTGTGAATAAATGACACCCACTGAAACAATTTTGTAACACTCAGAATAATCTTTTTTTTTGATCAAGTTTTCTACCACTAAGGATCTTTAAAATAAAGGCAAAACACAAAAAAACTGTTAAAACTGGTCCAAAAGAGAGGCGAAGGTCAGTAGAAGAAACCCATGACGAGGGTTAAATCGTTATTTGCACTGTCTGGTAAACAGTTTTGTAATCGCAACATGGGCAAGTCCCTCATCTGACTGTTCCCAGTGAAATGCAAACACTTATTTAGAACCAAAATGTTTTACTTGTACTAGTATGATACAACGTCCCCGTGTTAAACTGTGGCACAACAGCAGGAAATAATACAAAATAGGATCAAAATGAGCTTTATACAGTGTGCTGGTAATACGTCTTACACATTGTCATAGTAATAAAAGCTCAGACTAATCATATGGAGAGTTTTCATTTGTCCTTTTTTATTTCAGAACATACAATTATGTAAGTCTCCACCACAACTGATTAAGCAGAACAATGTAATAGAAAGAAGTGCGCTTTTTTTTTTCTCCAAATCATTCACATCATTGTAGTTCTTTTAAAACCAGCTGACAGCACTCGCCCACCTTTGCAGGATCAGACACTGATGAGTACTTGGAAATCTGAGAGTTGACCCCCAAGGAGCGAGCCAGGTCCTTGGCTGTCTGGTCCGAGGCCACAGTGGTTCCCAAGGCCACCAGCAGCCTGAATACAGCCTCCTTGTCTTGTACCGTCTCCAGAGCTCGACTGGCCACGGACAGGCACTGGGCCTTGGCCTCGAGGTCGGGCTGGCTGTGAAGGCAGCCAGCGTAGTTAAGCACCAGAGTGGCCAGAGCAATGTGGATGTTCTTATTGCAGACGGTGGCCAGGTCGGCAGCACGTGATAGCACCGTTTCACGCTGGGCCATGAGGAGGGCCCGGCCATGCCTGCCGCTAAAGCAGTTAGACAGAGTCCGCAGCGCCAGCATCTGGTTGGCAGGACGCCCCTCGGGCCTCATTAGGCTCAGCAGGTGGTTGCACAGCTGGACTCCCTCCGCCTCTCCGCAGAGGCTCTCATTAACCTGCGGGTGGCGCACTGCCAGCCTCATAATGTCCAGCACAGGAAACACAATGTCTAGAAGACACGAGGAAGGAGTTTCATTAGTCTACAGCATGAACAAAAGAAGCTTAAATCAAGCTCATGTTTCTGTGAAATGTAAAACATCTTGTGAATTGAAATGAGTTGCTGTCATACCGTCGGGCCAGTGAGAGGCCTTCCACAGCAGGTTGATCTGCTGGATGGTCGGAGGAGGCTCGGAGGAGCCGGGCACAGACACAGACAACAGCAGCTTCTCAAGGCTTTCCACAATTTCTTCGGAGAGCTTGTGCTCCTGAGGTGCACCTCCATTCAGCTCCTTCAGTTTGGCTGGGGAGGAACAAGTCATCGGTTAATTACTTTTCTATAACAACATGTACTCTAATTATGAGGCAACCGAGGAGTCAAAAACATTTAACTAGACTCTGAAGCTCATAAAGTTAGTCTGCCTCATCAGGAATTTCTTCATGCGAGTCGTTTTTTTTAACAAGATTTTTAAAAAATTGCTGCACAGTCATTTGATTTACCTGAATTTTTTTATAACATTTATAGAAATATTTATCAAATTTGTGATTGATGTCAAATTCTTGCACACACATTCAAATTTGAGGCCATGTTTGACCGACAATATTGCAGGGCTATTAAAGTTAAAGGCCTGAAATGTTCTGGTTTTCGGTTATTTCTACTTGTGTCATTGATTCAGAATTTGCAATATTGAACGAGTGCATCAATTATGATTTAATTGAAATATGTAAAAAAAACTAAATCAAGCAGTTATGAAAAGTCAGATCTTTACAAATGGTTCAGAAAATATCACTAGTTGGCTGCTGTATTATATATTTAAGGACCCTGCACTTCAGAGTAGAGAGAAGACCAAAGAAAACAAAGAAAAAACAAAGAAATAAATAGAAAAATATATTTTTAATGTGTCGTAATCAAAACGTTACCACTCATAGGAAAAAAAAGGTGTTTTTAGGACCTTAATCTAATTTTTCTAGACACTGTTCAGCCTCCAGAATCTCATATTATAGTGTAAAAGTTATTAAAGCTGTAAAGTCATTTAGTTTTGATGTGAAACTGACTTTGCATGATACAACAGAAGAACTTAAAAAATACATCTTCAATGTCCAGATGAAGAGGAATTTACATCAACATGCTTTGGAAGTTTTGTATGATCTCAAACGAAAAGGTTACTCTCTTTTAAAAAAAAAGCAACAACTTGGATCTTACACTTGACATTACAAGTTAACCAGCACGACTTTATACAGACTGTAGCTGAAGTCATACATTAAATTCTTACCAATGATCTGGGAGCTATTGGCTTGCTCAAAGGTCACACCATCAGTCTTGGGGAAGTAGATATTGGTTGCCGTTTGCCTCAGGGCTGATGAGGAGTACGCACCTCCTCCTGCAGAAGACAAGGAGCAGATAAAGGGCTGAAAGCAAAACCCAACTGACTCGTATCATTTTCCTAAAGAAGAAAATCAACCCCAGTTGTCACTCGAGACACAAGCCTTCAGACCTCATTATGTCAGTTGAGCATCAGTGTTGGTTTGATTTATTTTTTTTATTTTTTTAGTGGTTCCATCAGTCAGTATCTTACCTGTGAAAGGATCTGCGACACCTACAGGGGCGCTTGGGTTTGGACCCGATCCTGGGATGTAGCGACCGGAGCCTGTAGGAGGACAGACGCTGCTGTAACACTGCATTCACAGGTGATGTTGAGACTGTCAGAAACCTCTGAGTAAAAACATTTTACCTGTGAAGGGATCGGCTCCGAAGCCTGGCCTGTCGTCAGAGGCACCAGGGATGTACCGGGCTCCTCCTGTCACATGAAGACACAAAAAACCTTTAGGACAATGCAGAGTTACCCGAATAATCCCTAAATGTTGTGATGAAAATATCCCTGCAAGCCCAAGCATCTATCCTTTGGCCTCACCAGTGAACGGGTCGCCACCAGCAGGCTGGGCGGGTCCCACCACGTGTCCTTTTGTGTTCTCAATGATAAAATTGGCAACCTGGTCGAGGAACATGGGGCTGAGGTCGTTCTTCTGCAGAAAGTTGTGCGCTGTCAGCCAGGGGTCTTCTGACACGTTGTAAGGCAGCTTCATGGACGGCCCTCCTTCATTCACATCGATGGTGAAGACATAGTCGTACTCCTGATGAAAAACGAAGGAGGAGATCATGAATGGCTGCTCCTGTGCAGTGATTTTTTTCCCCGTTGTGACTCAGCTTGTGGCCTCACCTTTCCTTCGTACATCACACTTTTGGAAGTTTGTTGATTTGAGCCTCCGACCACGTCTCCGATTTTCATCCAGCGGCCATCGCTGACACTCCACTGATACGCCTCCACCTTCTGTCCATCTTTAATCAGTCGCGTCTGTCCGTCGCGATTTCCTGGAGGAAATAAGCAAACAAATCCATCATGATACGCACAAAACAGATGCACTGATTTTATACAGTAAAACAGATGTCAGCCTCTTTTATTACCAGGCTCATTCAGGTGTTCTCTTCCAGGAAGGTCCTCCATCTTGATGTCTCCGAGGTCGCCTGTCTTGGGGTCGATAGTGGCTTTGGAGAGCTCGTCCTCGAAGGCCTGCAGGTCCTCAGCTCCAGCCATGCGGTCCTCGGCCTCCGTAAACACACGGATAATGCCATCGCTGTGGGCAGAGGAGCAGCATCTGGGTTAGCCACAGATCTCTCTCACTGTCATCCGAGAACTTTGATCGTATTGTGTGAATGCAGGAGTGACGTCAGAAATGAAAGCGGTGAACTGCATTAGAAAAAGGCCACTTAAATATTTATGGTGCGACATGATCGAGGAAATCATTACGGACTGAGTGCACATCGTTATGCCAAATGCAGTTCTGGTACCTGGCTCCGATGGCTATGTCACCATTAGGGAGAATACAGCAGCACCAGACAGACTGGGCAGGCAGCCGGATGGTCTGAGCGCATTCTCCCTTCCTCCATATCCTCACAGTCCTGTCCTCTCCTGTGCTTACGAAATCTAAGCAGGGAAACAACAAGCTGATGTCAGTTATAGCCGGTGACCACCTCACAGAAAACAAATAGATGCTGATTTAATTATGACTGGTTACACACATCAAACTCAGCTATTTTACATGCCTTTAAATAATAACGTAACAAACAGACCTTGGCTATTGGGGAAGACGGCTAAGCTGTAGATGTAGTTGGTGTGACTGTAATAGACCTGTACACATTCGCCCGTCACCAGCCACCTTCTGATGCTTGTGTCATTGCTGCAAGAGAAGAACTCAGTGTTGCTGATCACTGCTAGTCCCCTGACACAGTCCTCATGACCTGAAATAGAAGCAAAACAAAAAAAAGATGCACAGCTTGTAAACATACAGCTCCTGGACAATCGATCAAGTGCTTTGTATCGTGATGGATGAATAGATTAACCTGATTAAGCCTCACGGTGTCCAGTTACACAATGATGGAAACAGTTTTAAAGTTGTGCTTAGTCATAACTGTAGCCTCCTATTCTTCCCTACAAGGATTGTTGACTAAAATGAAGGATTGAAGATGCTTACAAGAACCAAATATGAAAACAGAAAACATGTTTTATCAGTTATACCTGTCACATGTGTGTTTACGAATAAAAAACCGAACCACCTGCACATGCTCACCTGTAAACGTCTTCTCACATCGGCCAGCCTTCCAAAGCTTAATAGTCTTATCTGCTGATCCAGAAAGCATAAGGCCTTGTTCAGGTAAGATGACCACCGCCCACACTGCCGCAGTGTGGCCCTGGAGCAAAAATAACAAGACCAGAACATTCTCTGTCACACTTCCTGAATGTATTTTTGCTTATTACAGCTGCATAAATGAGTCAAAGTGCAGTCAGAGGCAGAGAAGGCAAACTGCAAATCAGCTTAAGACGGAGCATCACAGGAGCTTCAGCATACCTGCAAAGTCATCATGCACTTCTCGTTGAGCCAGACTTTGGCTGTAGTGTCCCAGGAGCCGCTCAAAAGCGTCCCGAACTTTCCAGACGACAGAGTACAAACTGTGGAGATCAAATGTTTAGAAGGTGAACAGCAGAGCAATTTAATATTCGTTACTAGAAATCCTCTGTGTACAGAAGAGAGCAACTCACCAGCATTTTTGTGGCCCTTGAGAGTGAATAGGGGCTGTGGTTGGTCCAGTGTAAAAATACAAATGTTATTATCATTCCCACCCGTGGCAACAAGTCCCCGAGGATATGTTTCATTGGGTGCAATGATGCACACACAGGATACAAAATTAGAGTGGCCAGACATACAGTGCATCTCTGTGAAGCCTCTGTCTGGGCTGTCAAAGGGAGGAGAAGGAGAGCAAAGGCATGTTGAGTCAGCAGTGGTGTTTACAGTCGCTTGGCTGATAAATTTAAGTAAGATCAGCGAATTTAAGTGACAGACAAAAGCAAAAAGTTTAGCAAGTGCTCGAACATCCGCGCTGTGTACACAGTGAGCTGCAGATGAATGAATGACAAAGCTAATTTGAGCAACCGTTAGCAATACGCTTCCTAGCTAACTTAGCAACTGACGTTTATTTTTACACATGAACATAAATAGTAACTAGTAAATGATTTCAGTGGGTGGCTATTTGGCTTGGTAATTTCTTGACCTGACACCTTTCCTGGCCACAAAGTCGCTTGTTAATTGAAATAAATCAGCATCTAGTTAGAAAGCAGCAGGCTAATGCTAGCTACCTTGAGTTTGGTACCCAGACTCTGCCGGTTCGGTCTCTGGACACAGACACGAAAGCTCCTTCGGGGAAAGCAGCAGCTGCGAGCCCCCTGACGTCCATTTCGTGGCCCGGGATGGAACACCTGAGTTTATATGAGTTGGATGATGCCATTTTAGCCCGACAACACAATGAAACTACTACAGTAGCGTTAAGCTAGGCGGCGTTGCTGTCAACAAACACCAGCCGCTAATGCTAAGGAAGTGACCTGACGTCACTGCACGCACGGAGCGTCAACGTCCAAGTTCTGATTTAATTTAATAAAAAATACGAAAAAATAGTATCTTAAAATAGGTATAATTGAGATAAAAATTTTCACGAATGAATTTTAAATTTATTTTAAAAATTGTAAATATTTCCTCAACAAGCATTAACGTTGTCCGTCCAGAGAGCGGCAGCAGCCTGTCTTTCCTGTCCTGCCGGTGCTGCACTGCGCTGCAAACATCCACCATCCACCCACCTGTCCACAGCAGCGCATCAAGCTGCCGGAAATCACATGGATTCAACAGGAGGCTTGGATTTTCATGCTAAAATTAAAAAAAAAAAAAAGCCCTAATCATTGCAAACAGCAACAATAAAGTCAAATGTTAAATCAGGCTCCCATCGCCCATCATCTTCCACTAAATATCCTTAAAAATGAATAAATAAGATTAATAGGATGTTTAATTCCCCTCCTAATCATTAGATACAGTAATTTTTTCTTTCAGGTCTTTCTTTTTCAATTTTTTTTATTTTTTTTTGGGTGATTGTTAATATTTGACTTGCACTGATTTGTTTGGGCCTGACATTAGTTCTTTAATTATTCAGGTAATTTGTAAGACTATATAACATTTCTGGTTCTCAACCTTAACATTTAAGTAACGTTGAGTTTCATATAATTTTTATAGGGATTTAACTTCAATATTTAAATTAGTCAGATGCATTAATATTTTATATAATTTTGTAGGGTCTCAACTTTAATTCTTAAATAAGTCAGATAATTTGTACGACTATATAATATTGTGGGTTTTTGACATTAATGTTTAATTTAGTCAGGTAAAACTGAATTATATATACAAACTCAGAGGTATGTTTGTAATATTTACATTGATCAGGTATTATTGTATTTTATATACTTTTTCAGAAGCTTAAATTAGATTTTTTGTTTTAAGTTAGTTAGGTAAACTTGTGTTTTATAGCATTTTTTGGGGGGCGGGGGGTGCTTACCTTTAATTCTTAAAATTTCAAGCAATTTGTTATGTATGACTATGTAATATTGAATAATAGCTTTAGTTGGGTAAAACTGTGTTCTATATAATTTGAAGCCTTAATATTTAAACTAGCAAGTAACATTTTCATAATTTTTAAACATTTTTGAATCTTATCCCTACCATCTAGATTTGTCAGGTGAGTTTGTTTTGCATATACTTTTCTCGGATGTTCACTTTATTTCTTAAAATTATTTATTAAAATAAAAATAACATATAATTATAAGTTAGTCAGGCCAATTTGTGTTTTATGTAATATTTAAATTAATCTGGTAAATTTGCGTAATTAATAATAAATGTATATTCTTAGACATAAATCAGGTTTTTAAAAAAAAGAATAGTTTGTTGTCGTAATCACACTGTAGATTTTTAATTTTAAAATAGTCAGGTGAATTTCATAATAAATCATTTGTAGAGTCCTAACATTAGTATTTTAATTTGTCTGGTAAATATGCAATGTCTATTTTTTCAGCTTTAAAAAAAAATCTTATTTAATGTGCTTTATAAAAACCTATAACTTGACGCGGCCTATCATTAAATATGTTTTTTTTTAATTATTATTATTATTGTCTGTACGTGATCCCGGTACATTCCCGTGCCGGTGGTTTTATTTTTACACCGTGCAGCCGGATCGTGTCGCCGCCGCTGCAGGTGTCGGACAGTCCAGCCCTCCGAGGCTCGGATGAGGAAGTAGCTCCGCTGGTACGTGCGCTGAATCGGACAGCGACACAGAAAGTAGTGAGTATCTTTACATTTCAGCCTATGCGGTCACCACCGGAGCCACACGCGGTGAATGATGCTCTACTTATACACGTATTTATCCCGGTGATTGAATGAAGCGAGGCCGCGGATGTGAGCTCAGGCAGTCCGGCTGTGGAGCCAAGCCCATCCCGGCTGTCAGTGCTATCAGCGGGGTGACTGATGGAGCCTTTACAACAACAATGCATGGACTTCTATTAGCTGCTAGTGCTAATCTACACTGTTTATATTACATGCTAATGTTAAAAACAACACAGTGTAGGGTGTGTTGAGGTTGTAAATGCTGGGCTTGTTTACAGACACCTGCTCTATAACACAGCAGATAGGCCTGTGATGTGGTTTTATATCAGATAGTATGACCTAATAAACCCTCATCTGCCACATAATGCCTCCCTCAAGCCTGCTAATATGTTAATAATCACCCAATAGCACATGATCATACCCATGCTTCATGCTGGCACTCATCCCTGTCATTTATTTATCTTTATAATGTCATTTATCCAGCACACCTTTATTACCTGCAGCTCTTTGTAATTACAAGCTGTTAACACTGCGTTGTACTCTTGCACAATGTTCATTCATATTGCTTCTTTTGCACTAAAGGTTGATGCCAAACTGCGTTTTCTCGTCTCTGTGCAATGACAGTGGAGTTTATTCTAATGCAATTCTAGCTTCCTGTTGTGTAGCAGCTTTAAAATGCCAGTTTTGTGTAAGGTTGGTGTTTCAAAATGCAGAGTGCACGCTGTTGCTCGTGCTGCAGCTGCATAAGACATGTTTGTTGCGTTTACGCTCAGTTTAATTGGCTGTTTCTCTCTGTTTTAATCATGATAATAGGAAGAAATTGCATTTGTTGGAACCCGTCAGCACACTCAAGTGCATCTACAAGACATTAGGCATGATGAGACGCAGTCAAAGTAGATGTTTGAGTTGCGATAGATGCGCTGCTATAAATAAACGTGCTTCAAGTCGTGATTTGAACAGAGTCCAGCTGATCGACGGCTGATAGTTCAAGAGTCATGGTGCAGAGCAGCTGAAGGAGCTGGCAGGCATGTTGCTGAGTCCAATATTTGGGAGCAAAGCTACAGAGAGGGACGATCTGAGAGACGTCAGGGATCCCGGATGATGGAGGGATTTGAAAATGAGCAGGAGAACCTTGTGATATGATCTGATGCTGAAAGAGGAGCTGTGTGATGTGATGGTATCAGCGAGAATGTAATAACGTCATTTGATACTGGTTACAATACATGTAGTGCTAACACAGTTGAATGCATACGGTGCCTCTCCTAAATATGATGACAGCTGTGGATGACTTCATGTGTAATTTAAACTAAATATTTCCCCCTTTCTGTGTTTTTTTAATTTCATTCTACTGTCAGAGTACGCTGCCCAACTTGCAAATAAAAAAAGAAGCAAAATCTGTTTGGTCATCGAGTGGAATCTAGTTAGAAGCTTGTAGATGGATCAGCCTCTTTCAATACTGCAGACGCTTCAGATCATAGATATGTATAATAAAGGCCTTATTATACATATCTATGCTTCAGATGACTTGTTCATGTTGCAGTAACCAGGAAAAAGAACTTCACGGCTGCCACGTGTCGCCAACAAACCCTAAATGAAGACTGAATGTTTGCATGTGGTTGGTTGAACTGTAGGTTTTCCAGCCATGAAGCTTCGCCTGCACTTCGTGGTGGACCCCATGGGCTGGCTGTGCATCAGCGTGGTGTTCGGGATCTGGCTCTACAACACCTTCTTTATTCCCAAACTCGTGCTGCTTCCTCACTACAACGAAGGGCACATCCCGTGGGCCATCGTTGTTTGTGAGTATCCTCGTTTCTCTGTCAATACATGAAAGGTTAGAAATGGAATTTGTCTTTTGCTATTGAGCAGCAACCTGAAAATAAGTGTGTTGACTTGTGTGTTTCTTCAGGCTATTACATAGCGTCAGCACTCTGCATACTGGCCCTGTTCAGAGCTTCCACAGCAGATCCTGGACGTCTTCCTGTGGACCCCCACATACCTCACTCTGGTACGGAAACACGGTGTTATCACCTATTTTACTCTAAATTTTTTTCTTAACGAACAGAATCTGTACATTTTTAGTGCTTATCCATAAGTTTTTCTATCTGTAAGGGGTTGCATGAGGTTAAAAAAGAAATATCTACCCAGATAGTGGGGCTGATCCCAATTGTTGGCAATAACCGATAGTTACATTCAATGTACATAACAGAAAATCAAAATTTAGAAGAACATACTCCAACACAAAGCTTGGAACCTTCAAATTCTTTTGTGTTTGTATGTTTGACGTGAACTTTTCAACATTTATCCTTCAGTGTTCATAAACTATTACTTGTCGTGTAACTGATACGATAACAGGGATATATGACACAAAAACAATGATGCATTTGGGTCTTTCATAGATTTATTTCAGGTTTTCAGGAAATACGATCAAATCTTTTTGTGATGCAGAAAGCTGTGCTAGTCAAATTATCTCTGTGGCATGGCTTCTTAACTTCTTGTGAGTGATTATGATTGACTACAACTGGTGACTCCTCTGAGCTTATTAAAAGAGGTTCCTGACCTTAAGGCTTAACTTAGGTTTGCTGCTGATCACATGAACAAAGGAGGAAAAGTTCTGAAATCAGATGAAACAAAAATTAAGCTTCCAGGCCACAATGACAAGAAAAATATTTGGAGGACAGAAGGGTAGGGCTTAACCCAAGGAACACCAAACCTACCTTCAGGCATGGTGGTGGCAGCATCATGCTCTGGTGCTGGTTTGCTGACAATGGAAGCGGTGGTTTCCACAAAGCAGATGGAATAGTGAAGGAGGAGGATTACCTTCACATTCATCAGGAAAACCTCAGACCAGAGGGTTGGGTCTTGGACAAAGTTGGGTGTTCCAACAACACAATGACCCTAAACACACATCAAAGGTGCTAAAGAGGCCATCGCTGTAGCTCACCTGGTTGAGCTGGCGACCCATGTACAGGGACTATAGTTCCCGATGCAGCGGCCATGGGTTCCAATCCCGCTCATGGCCCTTTGCTGCAAGTCCTTCCCCCATTCTCTCCTACCCCATTTTCCTGTCTCTCTCTCGACTGTCCTATGTAATGAAGGCAAAAAGGGCAACAAAAAAAAAGTGCTAAAGAATTGGCTTCATCCAGCTGGAATCAAGATTTTAGACTGGTCTTCCCAAAGTATTCACCGAAACTCAATCAAGAACCTGTGGATGAAGAAACAAACTTTTCTTGGAAAGCCAACAAATTTAGTTGAACTGCACCAATTCTGCCAAGAAGAGCGATCAAGGACACAATGAGAAGCTTGTAGACGGCTACCAAAAGTGTCTAATTGAGGTGACAATGGACAAAAGACATTTAACCAAACATTACAGTTGCTGTATGTATGTTTTTGACCCAGCAGATTTTGACATATTTCCTAAACACCTATAATAAATCTAAATCTAACATGTCATAGAAAATTCAGGGATGATAGGAATCATTGGAAACTCAAGACTGCCGTGATATGCCAGGTCTTTACAGGTGTATGTAGGCTTTAGTTCAAGAATGTAGATGTCATGATTGTGTCACCATTTCTGATTAACATGCTGATTGTTGTCTTTACGTCACAGAGAGAGAGCATTGGGAGTTGTGCAATAAGTGCAACCTAATGAGACCCAAAAGGTCGCACCACTGCAGTCGCTGTGGCCACTGTGTTCGCAGGATGGACCACCACTGTCCTTGGTAAGCTCACACCCACCCTCATGATACCTCCTATTATAGAGCTTATCGCTTCAAAAATCTCAACGTTTCCTGAGTTGAGACGTTAGATGACTGACTTGTATCCAGTAGCAGTGGCAGCAGGTAATGTGATCTTACTATGAAGCCACACAAAGCCAGTTTACACCTTATTCGTGCACTGATGATACATGAACAACAGTTAAACAAAATCATCTAACTCCTGTTTATTCCCCTGCAGGATTAATAACTGCGTAGGAGAAGACAACCACTGGCTCTTCCTGCAGCTCTGTTTCTATGCTCAGGTCCTCAGTTTATTCACATTGGTGCTGGACTTCTGCCAGTACTATTACTTCCAGCCACTGACAGAACTAGACCAGGTATATAAATAAAGCGCTTTCGGAGCTTTCAGACGACTTTGCAGACTTTTGCATGTGCAGCAGTTTGAACCGCTACTGAGCTTTCTTTGTTATTATTTAGTATTTACTGCACAAAATGCAGTTTTATACCCTTTAAGAGTCGGCTACGACAACAATAAATGGAAAAAAAAGTTCATATTTTACCATGAAACAAGCATCACATGGAGCTTTTACAGTAAAGAGTTGCTGTTGTGCTTCATCTTTCCAGGAGAGGTTCACAACACGCCACGAACTGGCTCTGCTGCGAGTGTCGGCGCTCATGGGTGTGGTCATGTTTGGCGGCATGTCCAGCTTGTTTTACACCCAGATGACGGGCATCCTCTCTGTGAGTACCCACTAATGACTTGTTACATCTCAAGTGAAGCCCTGCATCCATTCACTGCTGTCATTACGTGATTACGCCTTTTCTTAATTGGATTGTTGAACGTCGCTTTAAATGATGTATAAAATACACCCAACAGGCTTTAATTGCAGCGATATTTAGCTTGTGTGTCCTGCTGAAGACGTGTTTTGTCTCTTTTTGAAGGGAAAAACAAGGCTCGCTCGCTGAGCTTCAGACGGAAAAACATGACACAAGATACAGAAATAAACCGATCAATGCCACTAATGTAGTGATCAATAGACAAGAGAGAGAGTCTAGGGTCAGGGTAAATGACAAGCAAGATATTAATTCAGAACGTCGTGGTTTATTTAGCAAAATTACAAGCCAAAGTACTCTACAAGCCTTCGTGAGGAGGTTCGGCAGAGCTGTAGTGTTTGAAATGTTGATGTTGCAACTGTTTCTGGCTGCTCTGGTTTTTAATCAGTGTTCAGAATCTGCACGAGGAACTCATTTTGCAAACTCACTCTGAACGTTTCCCCCCTTGCAGGATATGACCACCATTGAGAAAATGACTCAGTTCACGAATGAAATGTGAGTCTGCAGTAACAGTAATAAAGGTTGATACGTCTTTAAAAAGCGCTCATAGTACATGTTTAGTAATTACCGATGTTTTTTTTTTCTCCGATCAGATATGGCATGAAGAAATCCTGGCAGTGGGCGCTCGCTGAAGTTTGCGGCACTCGCTGGAAGCTCCTGTGGTTCCTCCCGCTCCGGAGCAGACAGCCCCTCCAGGCCGGCTACCACTTCCGCACCCACGTGTAGGCCGGTCCGGTATATCTCCCACCTGCACAGATGGTAGGAGCCGCCATGATGAAAACGCTGTACACACACTACAGAATCCATCTGCTCGCCTTCAGCGTCCTCTTTTGTGCAGTGAGAGCAGCGGTTTGTCAGTGGATACTAGAAGCTTTTCTTTTTTTTTTTTTACAAGGCCCAGACTGGCAGTAAACAGGGTCGAGGAACACCTTCGGGAGCTTTTTTTTTAAACTCACTGTGACTGCTACTTTCAGCAATTGGAAACCACTTTTAACGGCTAATTGCATCAGAAGGATGGAAGTCTTCACCTGAAAGCTGCTGGCAAACGGGACCCCTCTCAGGTTACTTTAATAAAGAGCCTTTACTACTGACCTTTAATCAACTACAGACAGAACTTGGGTAACTTCAGCGTGTCTATTAGAAAGGCATTTTTTTGTATCAGGTTTGTGCCTTGTTTCTTTTAACGTTGTCCTGTTTTACTACACATGAGCAGTGTTTTCGCTTTCTGATTAGTTACACGCGGGATGTTCCTCGTGAAGGGATCTGCACTCCTTTAATTCATTTGACGATATCTTGAATGTTTTCTTGCATCGTTCTACAAGCGTTTTATGTACCAAGTGTTGTTTTATGAAGCGTGGCCACAGAACAAAGTTGATGACTTGAAATATGCGAGTACACGCGACCGGCCGGGTATGAAGACGCGGAGGAGAAAGCGGTTCGTTAACACTTAGTAAAAACTTTGGAGAAATTAGAAATAAGCTTATACAATCAATCTTAGGCTGTATATATCATAGTTAAACCTGCTGTGTAATCAAGTTTAACATTCCACAGCCACTTAATGTCATGACCTGGTGTTGAATTCTTATCGAAGGGGTTTGAGTGTCACGTAAAGTCTTCAAACATATCTTAAATCAGTCTGTTTATCTTAAAGTTTGCTGTTTTGGGAAGTACACTGTACACTAAGTTGTCTTTTTGCTGAGAATTACATGAGAAAATCGCTGCCACTATAATGTCTGTACACTAAATATGATGCTACAAGTAGGGGCTGGTTAGCTTAGCTTAGCATCGGCACCGCCGCACCTGTAGAACTACAACTTATTTATTTTTTTGTAAATATGAAATGAATGAGATGAAACATATTTAGGAGTGACCTTTTGGATACCTTACAAAAAAGCTAAGCTAATTTATTTTGTACTTTATAGTTGAAATGCTAAGCTAAGCTAAGCTAGTCGATTGCTAGTTGCAGCTTCACATTTACTGAACCGACATGAAAGTCGTATCAGTTTTCTCAGTTTTTTTCCCACTATGTCTACATAGTTACTTTATATCTGTTTTTATCTTAAATTTTGCTGGTTTGGGAAGTACACTAATTCACTTCTTTGCTGAGAAATGAATGAGAAGATTGATACTATATTTTATGTTTGTACACTAAATATAAGACTACAGCTAGCAGCTGGTTAGCTTAATGTAGCAAAAAGAGATAAAAAGAAGAGTTTAAATATGGATTTAAAGAATGAGCTAAAACATAATTAGTAGTAAGATTTGGGTAAGAACATTTCTTATTTTTGAACCATTTCATAGCCTTGGTGCTAAGCTAAGCTAGTCGGCTGCTGCTGTAGCTTCCTCATTCACTGAACAGACAAGAAAGTTTAAATGTTTTCAGCTTATTTCCCACAAAGTTGGCCTATTACTTTAAATCAGACTTTTAATCTTAAAGGACTAGCTTGCTGGTTTGGGAAGTATGTTTATTCACTTCTTTGCTGAAAAAATGCTAAGCTAAGCTAGTTGGCTGCTGCTGTAGCGTCATGGTTGCTGAACAAACATGAGAAAAGTGTACATTTTCTCAGCCTATTTTCTACAATTTCACAACCTGTTCCTTTTTATCTTAAGGTTTCCTGGTTTGAGAAGTGCAATAACATACTTATTTTCCGGGAATTAGTTTCATGTCTTTACACTAAATATGAAAGCACAGCTAGCAGCCGACTTGCTTAGCTTAGCAAAACAGCTAGCACCGGTAAAGTTGGTTATAACTTTTTTATAGGTTTGTGAGTGAACTAAGCAAATTAGTTAAATGATAACAAGCAGTTAACCCAGTAAAACTGTTTTCTTCCCTTTAAACCGAGCAAGGCTAGCTCGTACCCCATTTGACAGTTTAAATGCTAAGCTAAGCAAGTCGGCCGCTAGCTGTAGTTTTACTCAACATGCATGAGAATGGTATCAATTTTCTCAATTTACTCTGCAACAAAAGTGAAGAAAATGTATTTCCCACAACATCAACCTGAACCTTAAACCACCCTGTTATGCTGTAATCTTCTTCATCAACCAGAGCACTTACAGTGCAGCGTATTGGCACAAATAACTTGAATACATGTCTTTATTTTATACTCTTGACAATATCGTTTGTGATTTGTACGTATCATTTTAGCTGTCATATAGTTATGTCCGAACAAGTTACTTTATAAATGCATATCTTTATGAATAATACAAAAACTAGCAGATTAGTCTACTTGTGCTCACATGAAGCTCGTTGACACTTGACACAACACTGCAAATTTATTTATGGTGTGTTTTTTGCTGTGACTCTGTGAAACAGTTTAGAGATTTTATTGAATTCCTTCACAGGATACTTAAGGTGACGATAATAATATTAGCATTGCGTGGTTGTCATTGTCTATAATACTTGGCAATCTCTTAGTTAAACCTGTAAACAAAGCTTATCGCGCGTGTGGGGAAATGTTCAAATATCCAAGTAGTGCCTGTCTAGGTCTTAATTTTTACTCTCACGGTTCATCGTCATCCTCGCTGTATGGTCCTCCATACAAGCCAAAGACCAGGGGAAATGTTGCAATAGTCAGCAAGTATCCTGTAAATGCATGCTTCACCAAATTTCTGAAGGTAGCGGTTTAATATTATGCACTGAATTTCACGTTAGTCTATTTTACTGCATCGGTGGTACTTGTGAAAGGAAGTCCTCACTTGAAGTTATTTTATTCGCTGTGTATGGTTTGTATCGGTTGCATTTGCATGAGTGTTTGCTGATAACTTGATATTCAGGTTTTTGGATGTTTGTGTGATTATTTTTTTTTAATGTGTGGTGGTGGTGGTGGTGGTGGTGGGGTTAGTGCATGATTGGCACTAAGAAAAAAAAAATTGGTGATACATAACATTCACAATTTCTTCTGTCTTATAGGTTTTGAAAGCAATAAGCATTGTCAGTAAAGCCATCCTAGTGAAAATGTATTGTGGAGTTTGTAAACCGGTGGATGGGTTTCCGCTCATTACTCACAAACCTGAGATTACTTGTACTTTAGTTACCTCTGCCAAGACTACTGCGGCTGCGGTGTGTAGCTGCGCAGCATATTTTCAATTAGCAACATGCCTACACCTCATGTTGTTAATGAAGGAATAACAGGAAGGCTCGAGTTAATTTGATCTGAATCAAAAGCTGCAGGAAGGCGGAGGTGTGAACATTTCCAGGAGGCTGTTCTTACTCACATCGCCTCGCAGCCTGGCGTCCCCCAGGGCTCTCTGTTTGGATCTGTGCTTTTTGTGCACTTTGTTTATTTAAATAAAAAAAGTGTCTTCAGGCTGTATTTTTTTTTTGTTTAATTTCTGACCTCTGAACACTGGAACAGTTCTGTTTTGTGAATTTAAATGAATACACCATAGATATGTTACCAGTTTATGTCTAGAGCGCCTATGACAAGTTGCCAATTTATTAATTTACAAAACTATTAATTGTGATTATAGAAAATATAAAGGTATTCATATTCAAATAAATTAGATTCTGAATAAGTTTGAGCTGATGTTTTGTCCTTTTTCTTGAAATGCATCTGAAACTTGTTTCCCTGTTGTCCTCATCTTGAAATGGTCAAGTCTAAATATAGCTGCATGCATTGCACCACATTAGCCAGTGTGGCTGAATGTGTAGGTAGGTCAATGTTTTATTTATGCATGTGTACATTTTCTCCTCTCCATTTGCTACCTTTGTCCTGATGATTTGGATCATGCAGCAGTTAGCTTTTTTAACAGCAGTGCTCGCCTCCCTGCGTGCAAAACAATCCCCCCCATCACTATTATGAGGGGACACTGTTGCTGCATCCTGGGCTTAACTCAGCTTATCTACACATATTTTTTTTTTCTGCATAATTGATAATTATTTATCATTTATGCAGGCCAATGAGCCAGTGTCAGTCATGCATATTATATGTTGCATACTGTAATAGCATGAAACAGTTTAGCATTTTAGCTGGAGAGCTAACAATGAACTAATATGGGATTTTTACAGGCAGCATGCTACAATATTACCATCATGTTTATGTTCATGCGTCTCATCAATCAAGCAATCAGCTTTGTTTGTGGCAATTCAAGGAAATGGTAACACAAAGACAGCGGAAGAAGATGAGAAAGTCGGCTTATACCCGCAGGCTACATCCGGTGAGTCAGACTATATCTATTTATCTATTAAGTGATATTACTTTAATAGGAACACGGTGTAATGCCAAACACGACAAACACTGATCTCAGTTCTTTAATTCAGAGAAAACTATTGTTCTGGTATGTCAAAGCAATAAAAGCATTCAGTCATTGAGGACATTCAAACCAGTTTCTTACAGTTCCAGGGTTCTTGTATTGTGTTTGCTGCTTCTCTTGATCCGTTTCTGCCTGCATCTTGTATTTAAAAAAGGAACAATCTTGGAATCTTGGCTTCTTTAAACGACTTTAACTCAAAAGCCACGTTTTTCTGCCACATTTGCAGGAACACACTCAGCTCCAGAGTCACACCGTCTGAATGTTTCACTTGTTATTTGTTGCTCTGTGTAGAAAAGAGCCCGAGCAGTTGTTCAGGTTTCTCCAACCAAATGGTCTTTGTCTTTCTTCTTAAGTCTCAGTGACGCGTGTGTAATGTGTGCATGATCCGTAAACGTAATCAGTGTGTGTAGCCCAAAATGGTTGCATGTTTTTAATTGAACCCACACACACACACACACACACACACACACACACACACACACACAGTTTTATCTGGACCAAATAAAGTCCCCAACATAATCATCGTACACATGCATTTATGGATCATTAATAGTAAATCCTTATAGCACTGTTTGACTTTATATTACTTTAATTTCACATGCAAGAAATGTCTTTGCTTAAAACCAATTAACAACAATTACAAGACTTAATTTTCACTTTTTTTTTAAAAGAAGAAGAAGCAATTTATAACTTTAAATGAGCTTGTTTCATATCAGTCCATTACTGCCTTCATTACAAAGACGGCCTATTTTGCAGCCAGCATTCAGTGGATTTAATATCCCCATCAGGGTTTTTAATAAAATATAGCATCACAAAAATGGGTTTTAACAAGCCTGAAATTTAATTTATCAGTTTGGGCTTTGGGATGGTAAAAAAAAAAAAAAGAATTCATTGTGGATAATAGCAGCCTGCAGCAGGCTGGGTTAAATGTGCTCCTAATCTCTGGTAATGGTTGGTCAACTGGACTAATTAAATAAGTGACCACCTGCTAGTTTTATGGTCTATGACATCTGGCTGAACAAAAGAAATAATTAGCCACATGCTTGATAAACATAAAGTGTGCTTGGAGCTGCTATCGCTCAGATACTCGGCTGTTTACCTGTCTAGGATTGGAGTTAGTGGCTTGGCGTGTTCTGCTGCCATTTCGCCAAAGCCCAGACACGGATTAAGTCTATGGAACACAGAATTTATGACTGGATCACTAATTATTAAGGCGCGTGATCATTTTTCGATCTATCCATATGGGCCATATATCCTATACGGCACAACGATGAGGATCCAACCCCCCCGTCGTCACATATGCTTCGCTCTGAGGCCTTTTTTCTGATCATCTTCCAGTTTTCTGTATCCATAAAAAAGCTAAAAATCTTTCAGATAAAAATACAGTTGCCTCTGAATAAACTTTGACTTGGCAACAAATCATCTATGTAGCCTTTCCCCCCCTTGCTAAAAGCATAATTAGATTTGTCAGACCTCAGCGAGCCACGCCCGGGCCTCTCCAGTGGCAGGTGTCGCGGCCACGTTCCTCCGTTCTCGGCTGAACTTTCTGAACGTGGAGGTATCGATTGGCGTATTGATTTTCAAATAAGCTGTCATTGTCGAAAGTAGAAATCCAATTAAAAGTTGAACTCGAAACGGTTAATCCAATCAAGACGATGAAACGTATCGATTCGGACCTCAAAATCAATAAGGTGCATGCGGCGCTCGGAGGCCCCTTTTCTCTTCTCCGAAAGAATGACGCACATGCTCAGAAATGTGTCGGAAAGGTTGTTTTTTGAAGTTCTGAGCTGCTTGTTTTTTAGTTTTTAGCTTTACTACCTTGTTGTTTGGGCCTGCAGGTTCGAATACAGCATAAAAATAACAACAACTACGACAAAATCAACCACATTTACTTTTCTTGTGACATTATTTTGAAGGGCCCACCAACCTTCCCACTGTTTATTGTCTGTTTTCTATCTACTTTCCTCTCCTTTATCCCCTTTAACCTCTGTTTTTTTCCTCCTGTTCATGGCTCATCTTTGGAATCGTTGGGTTCCTTCTTGTATCATCGTGCTGTAAAGTTCCTTGAGATGTCATTTTAGAAGCCAAACAAAAGCTTGCTTGTTTGCCAAAAAGCGATCCGCAGACGAATAAATGTGTCCAGTATATTAGATTACATGCTGAGTTGAGTTATTTTGGGGGGCAGTTAGACCGCAGAGGATGAGCCTCCAGTCAAACTCTTATGGGAAAACGTATAAAAACGCCAGTGAGATAAATTTAAACGGCCTATTTTGGCACGTGGGAACAGTAGCATTGTGTAGAAAAAGACAACCCCAGGACACGGAAAAGGATCGTAGAGGTCGTAAAAATGTAAATATCTGTAACATCTTTATTCCAGTCTTTCTTTTTTGCTTTTAAGATTTATTTTTTGCCATTTTTACCTCAGTTTTGATCAAGACTGTGACGAAAATGCAGAAAAAGGTCCCTGTCAGGTTTCCTCTTGCACAACTTTCTCAGTTTGGATTCATATTTAGAAACAATTCTCGTTAAATTAGAAAAAAAACCATCGAGTATTCAGGTTAAATGAGCACCAAGAGGGCTGAGGGGTTAATAAGAGCCTTTATTAAACTGTTTATTTGAATGCTGAATAATGTATTGATTCAGGAATGTTCAGCTTCACACGATCCTGGTTCAAACATTCACTTCTGTGTTTTGGCTCAACCATTCAGATTCCTTCTTTAATGTAAAACGCTGGAATCTCAGAACCTCAGGGTAAAATTAATTAGCCTTTTCTCTGCCGCGAGCTGATATTTGCCTTCCGTGATGACTGCTGAGTGTCTTATTGTTCGCTCCGCTCAAGAACCTGTTCAATTAGCTGCTTCTAATCAGGCTCCTAATTAGCACTTTATTAAAGTCAGGTGCACTGAAAAGGTCACCTGTGAACATGATGAAGAGCAGCAATCAGCTGGATGTTGTCGGCGCCCGACACGTGGAGCGATCGGCGCTTCGTTTCCCGCCGCATTGCTCATTTGCGCGTGTTTACAGCGAATCGTCGCTCGCGTCTACAATACGCTGTTCAGCAACAGGCCCGCTGACAGACGTAATCAAACGAAATGCTTGTTTTCATTTCCAAGCATTAGCCCTGTTTTGTTTTTGTTGTTGTAATTAATGCTAAGTTGCTGTTGCTAAGTCCACCCACCGGCCCTGCGGGGAAATCCAGCTGCCACCGGGCAGGCGGCCTCAGCGAGGAGGATTGGAATGCGGCAGGAGAGAAAAGGTCTTTTCAGCCGGAATTCAGATAACATTTACATGGACGCGCCGAACGTCTTAAGTCAGGAACGCTTCCAGTGGAGCCTGAGGTTGACTTCAACACGTCTCTGGGTGACGACCTGAGGCTGCTTTAATGGTAATAAATCAAATGACTTTTTATGACCTTTAACCTTTAAATCCTCACAAAAGTGCATTTTTTTGGTCAGCATTTTGTGTTGGATCATTCGTGGCACTGGCAGGTTTGATGAGGTTGGAACAGAGACGAGCACAAAGGCCAAATGTCAGCACTGACTCACAATTAGCTCGTTTCTGGTTCTGTCCAAGATATAAAGCTCAAGAATTTCTGTTCTGAGCTACGTCGAAATTAAATTCTCAGCTTGTGACTACTCTTCATCCAAAGCCCAACAAACCCAATTAACAGAATAGAAATCACACAAAAAAAGTACAACAAGAAATGTGCAAATATAAAACATAACATCTAGTGGGGAAGAAAAAAATAGTGTACATCTATGAAAACAGTGGGATCGTGTCGTCTTTTAAATATTTGGTATATTTGGTGTATTAGGAATTAGGAAACAGTGGTTTTGCACGTCTGGATATTGAACATATATTAAAAAGTGTTGCTTAAGTAGTGCAGAAAGTACACACAAGGTGCTGTTGTGTATAATTATGTGTAGTTTCATTTGCAAAAACAGAGAACTCCATCTTCACGTCTCCATTGTCTACCTGAGACAACATCAATCTAACTTAAGTTATTTCTATTTCTGTCATTTCTACTGAGTCAGCTCCACTCAGTTTGATTGATTTTATCTCAAACAAACAACAACAACAAAAGTTTTCTGAAAATCTACAAAAATGGAGTTATCTGTTTTTGCAAATGAATTCTTCAAATATTAAATAATGGACAAATTATAATAGATTTAGCCTCTTTTGCAGCAAATTCAATCAGTAAATCAACCAAAATGTACCTCTGTAGCACTTTTCACACAAATTAAAAGTGATTTACCAAACTTATGCAACAAAACAACACAAACAAACAAGACAAAAACACGGGAAACGC